AAATAATTGTTCCTTATCGCAAATAGGAAGTTACTATCATATAAGTAGGCATAAATTCTAGATACGCCTATGATTCATTTCCACAGCTAAGAAAAACCCAAGTACCACATGAAAACTCATTGCGATTAATTCATAAATATTATCTTTTCACTATCTAAAATTATTGTAAAAATAAGGGAGTAGGTAAAATTTCATCAATGAATCATTGTTTATGTAAGTGTATAAATGCGACACCACGTACTCGTATAATCGTACAGGAAAACAGATAATAAATTATTTCTTGCAGAAACTTGCTGTGGACGCACTAAATCCGTCTTAATCTAATCAATCCTTCAACATTTAAAAGATATAATGGTTTATCTAATCTAGTTTATTGTTTAATTACATGGATTAATTATTATTTTTAAGAAACTTCATCTTATTTGCGCACATTTTCTTCGAATTAATACGGGATTATTATTAAAATTCGGAAAAAAAAACATTTTTAAAGGACACGTTAATTCGTGCATCAATCAATAATAACTCAATGAAATGAACTGTATTTTATTTATCTCTATGCAATAGTCTGCCTTCACAAAGATTTAAATAAAGCAATATATCATTACTATCAACGCCATAATTAGCCACATATTTGATTGCCACAGATAACAAATAACAAGCGGTTTACACGTGATAAAGCAGACAATCCCTTTACCATTAACTTATCATACCATTGCCGTGCCCAAAAATAATGGATCTAACATGATAACTGCATTTAGGACGTGCAGATACTAGGTATAAAACAAGAATAGGTAAATAAAATCAAAGGCGTTAATACGGTATTTGACAACTAGTCAAATTCAATACTTTTTTCGAACTGTCAAAAACGACAGCTTTGTATGAATTTTGTACGGCATTGTAAATTGTGACGTCACGTTTTTTTAGCGTCAAACAGCGTACTTATTTCTTAAAAAAATGTTAAAAAAATACTAAAATTAAGTTAGTCATACAATCAATTAATGAAAGTTTTTTTTTCAAATATTTTATTGTATTGAACGTTCGAAATAATTAATTTTTGATTAAGAACCCAATTGTGTAAATAGGTAAAAGTAGTAACCTAATTTAGTGACAACAGACTTCGAATTGCCTTTCCATTTCTTTTTCAAATGCATAATTGATATAAGTGACAAAGCAAGATTAAAAGTAAATAAACATTTTGGCATGACAGCAGTAATGAACAACGTTAGGTGTAATGTGTAGACTAAAACTAAATTAGTACAATATACTTCTTTTTCTTTCTTTGTTTGTTTCTTTCTTTCTTTACAAAATCATCGAATGACTTGTCCCGCCTGGATGAGGGGGGAGGGAGTGTCAGACTCTTATTGACTAAAACCCACTCCGTTCCTACTCCTGCACTTCGAGCCGGAGCCCCGGTAATCTTTTACTTTCTCTGGCAGTACAATATACTTAACTTTATACTGAAAATATTCAGCAAGTAACTACTATAACTGAGTCATTGAAACAGATCTAAAAACAGATAGTCACATAAGGTAATGCACCAAATTCCTTAACAAATTATGCAATTGCAAACCTTATTAGGGAATTAGATTGGCACAGTCTAAATGTACGGACATAAATGGAGTAGGCTCAAATTCCAGCACCAAATCTAATTGGATTAAAGTGCTACGAGTACTTACAACATGATTTATTTGAATCTCAAGTTAATACATAAAGCTAATATTAGTTAGAATAGACCTGGCTGTGTTCTAAACCTGCGATCAGACACGGCAGGATGAGAAACAGCATGGTCAAAATTTATAGTAACCTAACTGCTATTTTTTCCAATTTGCACCTGCCAAACGTAGGGTTTTCCGCTAATCCCCTCCAAAGATCTCTCTTTCGCTTTTGTTTGACACGCCATTAGGGTGCCATGCCATGACGCACTGGGGACAGACGTTAGTGGAGGATTTACATCAATAGTTTTCTATTGACAGTCATACTCAAAGCCTTAAAGTAGTAGACTTATTCTGGTTGATCAAAAAGATAAAGGTAAAGATTGAAAAATAAACCTGAAGCTTTTTGTTTATTATTTTGAACATACTAATCTTTCGTTTAACTCGTCGAATACCGCCATTATAGACACAATTAAAGAACAATAGGTTGCGGTCACCGGTGACCGCTTGGTGTTTGACAGTTTAGAAAAAATTTTGAGAAAGACGAAAGTCATACACAACCTTCCCCGAGAAGGCGACATAACGCCTGAAATAACACACTTCGACATTTTAAACCTGTTGCAAAAGTTGTATAAAGTTATGTCAGAATATGTTAAAAAGTATATAAAATAGGAGAAAGTGATACAACAAGTGTGTGTCGTAAAATGACATTTCAAATGTAACGGCTCTCTTCAAATGGATGTTTTATTTAATCTGTGACATAATAGTGAATAGTATCTCACATCTATGATTTTAATCTTCTTTCTTTTCTGCAGTAAAATCGATATACAATTTACATTTAAAACGTACAGGATTTTGGAATTAGGTTGAACATTAATCTATCGGAGTGAAAAGGCTAAAAGACCTTGAAGAAAAACTTGTCAACAAATAAGTGATTTCACAAATAGTAGGTACCTCTACATGTGCTTGTACGACATTACTATGGCCGCCACAAAAAGAAACTTCACATAAATTCCTTTTCTTGTTCCATGAAATACATGTGTACACTATCCTGTGTACCTACAGACACGTTTTTTCCACATTTTTAAGTGTGGGAGAGCCATGCTTCGGCACGAATGGGCCGGCTCGACCGGAGTGATACCACGGCCTCACAGAAAACCGACGTGAAACAACGCTTGCGTTGTGTTTCGTCGTGTGAATGAGGTTACCGGAGGCCCAATTACCTTCCCCTTCCTCAATCTCCCCAATCCCTGAATCCCCAACGAACCTCAAACTCCTAATCCCCAAAAAGCCGGTGACGCACTTGTAACGCCTCTGGTGTTCCAGGTGTCCATGGGCGACGCCGATTGCTTACCATCAGGTGATCCGTCTGCTCGTTTACCGGCTTATGCCATAAAAAAAAAAAAAAAAAATTTCTTCGTAAAATAACCCTCTATGTACACTCAAACAGCTTTTTTAATTCGTTATCTTCGCAGACAGGAAAGAGCCGCGCCTTAGTCAGTAAATTAAAAAAAACTAGTTTCTTGACATCTCATCATCATCTTATTTACAAAGTGTTATCGAATACTCGGTAATGTTACATGTATTATTATTATAGTTTTTTTAATAGGATTGTTTGTTTGAGAACACGTTTTTTATTCGTTTTAAAATATTTTATTATAGTTTTAATTTAAAAGTACATTATTATAATTTATTGCAAAGCGTTTAAAGATTATCATGGGTGTTGACTGTAACGCGATGGCCCAATGATCAAAATTTAATTAAAAAACGTTATTTTACAACCATGGAGTTTTAATTAAAACAATAAACTCAACTATAGGTATATATTAAACCACCTTCTTAATACAAACGTCTCTGTTATGTCTCATTACACAAACACTGTTATGTACAATAAAAACAAATGACTGCATTACTATATGGCAAATGACACGTCACTGGGTTGGTACATCCGTATATAAACATACAACTGCGTACTACAGACCTTGCAAACGTTAACATGAGTAATATGACTCAGAACGAGTAAACCAATGAGTCGTAATTAGTTTCAATCATAAACATAACATGCGACGAAATGTTTACAGTCCCTGACATGAGGAGAAAAAATTATGCTAAAAGTTCGTGCGAAAATTTGACATTTAGGTATTAATAAATTCGTCTAAAGTTTAAGTATTGTCAAATAGGGAGTTTATCATCACATAAGTATGTAGATTTAGGTCTGTCCGCCTTTCTTAATGACGAGAGGACCTTCAAAAAGTTTTTGGAGAAAAAAATTCACAACCAGCCACAGCGGTCGCTGTGTCCCCGTCATCACCTGATGCCTGAGGGAGCACCAGGTCCTCTAAATAGTGCAGAGTCCCTCGCTAAGAACAAGCAAACCTCACCACAGGAGAACAAAAACCAATATTTATTAAACTATAAAATATGTATGTCAAACAGAACAATTTCTCGGTAACAATAAAAACAGTTAACTAACAAAAACTGAAAGATGTTGTACTACAGCTGGTTCCGGTAAAGATTAAAATTAATTACCGCAGCTGCATTTATACAAGCATTAAATTAATTATGATATGTAAAGAAAATGCCAATTTTTTACACGTAACTACTTCGAAATGCCGGATATAGCATATTTTATTACACCGCTTTTTATAATCACTCGTTAATTTAGATTTCGGAGATGACTCTTAGAATAGAGGTTTATATAAAAAGGTTCGATATATTTCCGATTTTAAATTAAGCAAAAAAAACCCTGGCATTTTTATTGTTTATGCCTATTTCCTTAGAATGAGAAAAAACTATGCTATATCAATGGTTTTGTAATGTACATTCAACATAATACAGTCAACAATTAAAACGCAAATGAAATCATTGCATGTCCAATTAGAAAATTCTTCATCTTTTATTTCGTAAATATTTTTAACGTAGGTTCAAACAAAACCTTGGCTATGTAAAAACTTTGTTTCTTGATATTTAGAAACGCGTTTTGTTCCAACAATAAAAATGTATTTGTCAAGGAGAAAAGCAAAGTATTGTCAAAGCTTCGTCACCGTGTGAATTTTATTAATTTTTTTAATTGATGTACAAACCTCTCCTAAACTATGTTTAACTTTTTAATCTAAAAAACCAATTATGCTAAATTACAAAACATTACTCACACAGACTTAACAAACATAAACTAAAAAAATAGAGCAGAAAATTATAATGTTCTATGGCCATAATTTAATTTAGTTTACAATTTCCGCATTACTATACGCGACCAATACTAATCTCGTAGCATTTTACAAAGAAAATATAACAAAGCACAATGTATGTAACAAAAAATATAAAATATCTACTTACACTACAAAATAATAGTGAAAATTCCTTTTTTCCAATCCTATAAAATGTCACGTGGTCACTGAACAGATTAATGCACAATTAAAAACTTTTTTTATTAAACTTTCAAATTGGCGCAGTTTTTTAATAAAGAATACAACGTCCGATGCGCAACGCACGCTACGGCTGCGCGCTCTCGACCGACTGCCGCCGCTCGGAAACGAGAGAATGTATGGCGCAACGCAATACAGCGATTGTAGCTGCTGAATAATGCGTTGTTTAATTTTATTACTCCAGCTGAAAGCAAAAATATGGTAAAATTCACACTACAGTGAGATTTGAGTTAACAACATTTTCTATCATAGCATCAAAAGAAAATCAGAAAAGTTTCAGTTTCACATAACCAAAACAAAAAACGGATTTATATCCAACTTATATAAAAAATGAATGCAAAATACAACGAGTAAGTAAATCATTTTCTTTTCAATCAGCACTTAGAAAACGGTAACTAATAAATAAGCGTTAAAATGTCGGTGAAGATATAAATCGTTCAATCAAGTTAATATACAGCTTGAAAGCGGCTACGTTGTAAAAACGCACATGCGAGACGCGAGTACGGTCCGCATATCAAGTCAAACGTTACTCTTATTTCTGCACATAATCAAACCATAGCGAAATGGGTTTATTAACTTCAAAATGTCGTTGGTTTTTATGGGAACAAAGGAATTTAGGGGACTACAATGGGATGGGGATACAGGGGGATACAATTTAATTTGTAGTTTATAGAAGAATTTATGATAAATAGCAGACATGACAATGACTGCACGGTTGGTGCGGTGGCTGGGCAACCGGCTGCCGTGCAACGTGTCGCGGGTTCGATTCTCGCACGGAACAACACTTTGTGTGATCCACAAATTGTTGTTTCGGGTCTGGATGTCATTGTGTATGTGAACTTGTATGTTTGTAAACGCACCCACGACACAAGAGAAAATCATAATGTGGGGCAACGTTTTTTTTTAAAAAAAAAAACATTTTTTGCTTGTTAAAATTTTATCTATTCAACCTTTTTTGATTTTCGTAAAATGTGAGCACCTGTTACTACTATCATTTTTAGAACCTTTTCAGGCAGTCACATTTAAATACACGTAAAAAATCGATTATTATAACTTATCTGTAATTTGTATTATCTATATCTATATATCTGAAAATATATTAGTACAAAAATGCATCCTGGACAGATGATTAAGGAAAAATTTTGTATGATAAATAATATTATGCTAATTTTAATCTGTGTGTAAGCTAAAAGGTTCGTATTTGGATTTTATCAGACTAATTTCTCGTTCAGTCCTAACCTGGTTATCAGTCTGATTCGTTATCATGTTTTTATTGTTGACGGGCACAGCATGATAATAAGATTTATGTGGTTCTTTCCCCAAAGCGAAAAGCATTTAAATATAAGAGTAAATAATATCAAATAAATAAATTGACACAAGTAAACAAACTCTTCAATACTTCTTTCTACGATAATTTAGTTGTACCACTAACTAAAGCATAAGTATAATTCAATTAAATGACTTCTATATTATTCTTAATCTCAAACATTCTCATCCTCAATTAAAACACTAAAGAATATTTTCAGAAAGAAATACAATGTCCTTTCTTTGTCTCTAATCTGACTGGCGCCACAAAGACATCACATTATGCAAATATTTACAGAATACGACCATAATGTCGCACTACACTTCCGCAGACCTATCACGAATCGAACTATGTCGCAAACTACATATACGACTATCAGGCGACCCTTTGTACACAATTGTGCCAATTGTGCCCACAATTGACCAGTGTTGCGATACAAAAAAATATTTCTTCGTAATAACTGGGTTTGTTACTGTACACGAATTAAATGGCGTGCGTCGAAAACTGTACTGTACAGTGACGCAAAACAACAGAATATTAGAGAAGTATCGTGACGAAATATTTGGCATAATTGACGAAATATTTGGCATAATAGGCGAAAATATTTGAAATTTTGTTATACATAAAGTAGAGCATGTTTATATTACTTTTGATAGATAATTATCGTGATCTAGGTTCTGGCGGAGATTGTTTCATGGTATATTAGTTAGATATCAAAGGTCTAAAGGCCGTTGGACCCGGATGCCGAGCCCCGTGAGAAATGACCTGTGCTCTCGTAACACTAAAATAGACTAAACGTTTGCATTCACAAGTACCTATAAATCATTAGATTCGGATTTAAGTCTCACTTTGTACACCATGGAATTGTCGATGATAAAATCGGTTCTTCAATTTCATAATTTCGGATATCTCTAACAAAGAGATCTTCTTCAAATTTTTGTGAGCACACGTATCTTAACTGGTTTCTACTGATGCAATAATGGATGTTATTTACTATATAGTTATTGACATTTCATTGGGATACTAGAAAACCATTTCGGAGATCTTTTTTATTTTAGGCGGAATTAGGGAAATGTTTAGAAGGCGCTTGGCTTTTGGATATAGGAACTAGGAAGGAAAGGAGTGAGGTATTTCTATCCCTGCTGAGTACTATAAGCATTACACAGCTATAAGGAGGCACCGGGTTCTCCAAAGAGACCAGCTACAGTGCGATATTGTGCAACTTCTAATTTGGAACATCCATTCAGGGCATAGACAGACAAAACTAATTAATTACACATTCCATCAATAGATGTTTAAAATCCACCATATACATAAACGAAGGTCGTGCACACGTACACATTTTAACACAAACCCATACACATAATGTGATCACAAAACATCATGAATGGGGACCTTATGTAACTTTCTAATACTCAATACTTTCACCATCGATACCCGATACACTGTCAATACAATAATGTCGTGGCTCGTGACGCAGACGGATGAGAGGAAATGCACGTCACTTATATACCTAGAAGAAAGCACATCAACCTACACCATTCTTTAAAAAAATTCAATCGATAAGCTACCTTATCACATAAAAGTTAAAGTTGAAAATGTAATTGAACGAATGGAGTAGCTTGATGAGCGTGTATAGATCTGTGTATCTGTGTAGGTGTATTCATTATGGTATGGTGATTTCTATGAAAATTCAAAGTTCATTACACTTTGTATAAAAAAAACCGTTGAAAGTATTTCTGTCAACGAGCTGACTAATTGGTCTTAAATTGTGATCTCTTGTGAAATTTCACCATGATTTTCGCGTTTGGGTAATAAGCATGAGTTTTGTTTTTGAAATCCTAGTAGATCAATGTTTAGAATTGACATTTTTTTCGTTCTAAATTACACAGGTAGGTTAATATTAACTGGTACCCAACCTGAAGTTACAAAGAGTAATATAACAGACTAGAACACTGCAGAAAACTATACTAACCAATTAAGTGTGGGAGAGCCTTGCTTCAGTACGAATGGGCCAGCTAGACCGGAGTGATACCACGGCCTCACAGAAAACCGACGTGAAACAACACTTGCGTTGTGTTTCGTCGTGTGAGTGAGGTTACCGGACGCCCAATTACTATTGTATAGGTAGCGTCATCCTCGCTAATTATACTAGTAGTAGGCACTAATCTGGGCACGCTGTCACAATATTTAAAGATGAACACATTCATAAAAAAATATTTATACTCTATGGTCATCTCACTGGCAACATCATTTACTTCAAAGCATACCTGCAACTGCAACACAACTCGACCAGGGGTAAAAATAAACATGTTTATTATCCGGGAAGGGTTGGGACCTAGCGAGGATGACGCTACCTACACAATTGAGGATCGGACGTCACAGGTAAGTTAGTCCGATCTATTTAATTGTATAGGTAGCGTCATCCTCGCTAATTATACTAGTAGACGTTCAAAGAAGGAGTTGTGTTGACAAACAACACTGTTTAATCATTGAACATTGTTGCACTTAAACAAGATATATGACATTGTCAATAACATCAATATCTCACGAGTACTATATAGTACTAGTAAAAACTTAAGCAATAATCAAATTACGTTTATAATTTCCCCAAGATGTAAGCCACTAAACCATTATTAGATATAATAGCTACTTATGGTTATGGTATTGTTTTCAATCATTTTTATCAAATAAAAATACTTATAAAATTAAATACATTTTAAAAATAGTATTAAAAATAAACAGAAGCCCAAAGCACGGGTTATCTTAGTTTGGGTTCCTGACTTTCATCATTGTATTGTCAGGTAAACTGCATTAACCCTATGTAGAACCAAAGTGAAGTGAAGAGAAGAAACAAGCTTATGTCAATATTATAAGATTAATATTAAGATCTACATCATTATGTATTGTGATGGAAAAATAATTAAATGTCCTTATTTATTAATTTAATTATTTAGTAAGCATAGCAACAATATTATTATCTTGAAATTCTGGTGTCCACTACACCAACTATAGGTACACCTACTATGTACGTTTTGAACTATAACGTTGTTCAAATTCAGTCTATTGCGAAAATTTAACGTCTTTCAATAGGTTGTTTTCTTCAAAATTATCAGTTTCTTTTTTTTTTTTTTTT